CCATGCACACATTAGAAACTGGACACCAATTTGCATGGGGCGAAACTTGCATTGTTGGCTCTTGTCCATAGAAGAAAGACCGCGAGTTTTTAGAAGCCATCAACTCCGACGACTCGTGCATCAACGGGAACGTCGAATTGGACGCAATGTACGCCAACCTCAGGGAAGCATGGAAGAGACGACAGCCTATCCGGACTAGAGGAAGCGAAAAACAGCCAACACCGACCGCACGATTAATTGCGGTCGACAATTAGTTCCCGACCGACCGCATAATTACCTGCGGGTGACAACTGTTTTTTCCCCACTGACCGCACAATCACATACGGGTGACGATTATGAACTATTACTTTACGCACTATACAAGCTTCTGTTAGCCATCATTTTGAATTAACTGGCTCGTTAAATTTCCATCCGTCTGACGACAACCTGGTGTGCCAGTGTCAAAAATTTAAACAATAAACCACTGTTTCGCAAAGAACTCTGACCAGCCTACTTACCCTTTCATTCTCCGAATGAGAGTCTCTCCCGCGTACGACTGATACGGAACAAGTGGGCTAGGCGTAGGTGTTTTTGTAAGGGAATAGCAGAATTAGAGTACTAAAAATGGCAAGTAGATGCCTTATTCTACTTAGAGTTAACATTTTATGTAACTATCCTTCCGTTTTTTTTATTTCTCATGCTAAAAGGCTGTTAAGCAAAACATGCCAAGGATCAGGAAAATCACAACTATGAGGTAAAGACCTAAATTAATTGGCAATAAGCGAACGTATTCTCGTCTAGTATAAGCATAAGGATATTTTATAGCATTTGACCAGTAGGTTACACATTTTTCATGCGGATATAACTTGACTGTAATTTCAAGAAAAGGCATCCTTTGGGAAAATTAGGGAATTTATTCAGTTAATTTTCGACACTGGATTTCCAGGTCGTCGTCAGACTTGTTAAAAAATGTGCCAAAAATTTACTCAATAAATTTCCTCATTTTCCCAACGGACACCTTTCCTTGAAATTACATTTCTTGGGACGCCTGTCCTCCAGTTTATACGAAACTTGGCTGTGTATGCCGACTAAATAAAACATTTATGCGGATTTTTGCGGACTAAATTCAATAGTTTAAAGATATTATTTCTACAATTTGTAAAGTTTTGTTCAAAAGGATGGCCGATTCAGTGACTCCTCCCTACCTGACCGCCTGGAGGACAGGCTTTTATCCACTATCTAGTGAGATTTGAAATCCAAGTTTCAATTTTTTTCGAATATTATTTTCTTCTTTCAGTGGCTAGTCTATGAACCGGCGGTGCCTAGGCTAAAAAAGCTTGAGGAGCGCATCGATGACCTCCATTTCGTCCCTTTAGGCTGACTTGCGTTTACGGTACATTAAATTTAAACAGACGGTTCATTTCAAAGGTCTTGGTAGGATAATCAACACATAATGTGTCAGACTGTCAGTCAGATAAATTGCGCCAAATGTTTCTCTCTCCATAGTAGAAGGTAACTCACAGACTGCCGAGGTAAGTAGTACTAAGAAACGGTAAATCTTATACACTTCAGTGCTGATTTCTACTCGCCCTCTGTTCTTCAGAAATTGGGACACAAGATTTACTGAAACTGACCTGTGCTGCCTCAAAATTTACTCTGAAACGTTTGGTTTTGGTTTAAGAGGCGGTATTAACTGAAATGCAGACAATACTTTTCTCGTTTCGTATGTCCCACAAGTTAATGCCATGAATTTAAACCAAACTGTCTACAAAAATAAAAAAATAAAAAGATGACACCTTTCCCGAAACTATAGAAATTTGTGTTAGAGTAGATA